ACACATATATATATATATATATATATATGCTCAGCTTTATTAAATTTTACCAGAAGTATGATATTAACAGTGATGGTCACCCCTGTGTTTATTCCTCTCATAGCCTGAGTAAGCAAGTAAATATAAATAACATGGGGAGAATACAGTAGAATCTCAAGACCTCTAAACTTTTGGTTGTGTTAGAATGATAATTTGACGGCTTTAGTTTTGTAGTGTAATGCTAAGAGGATGAAAAGTGAATGCTAATGTTGAGCATAAGTTTTCAGTACAGAGAATGAAAAATTTCTGAAAATATCTGATATTAAATGACTCACAACAATATTAAAGTCATTAAATTGTGTACTGATCAAGTGTATTTTTTAAAGTGTAACTTTGTTACATGTATTTTTCTTCAAAAATAAAATAGAGGCAGACCATCATTTAAAATTGCATATAAATGACAGAAGTGATTAGGATAAACCAGTTTTATCTGATTAGATATAAAACTGAAAACTTCTTCTGGATACTTATATTCTTTATGTCTTATTCATGCATTCGTGTTTGGAAGTCCTTAGCGATTGGAATGGCATGGACCAATTTGGCTAATTATGAGCTAGCTCAGTGCACTGAGCCCCCAAGTTCAAGATTATTTAATAATCAGCCTCCAGCTCTGTAGTGACTACAGTTCTGTTTCCAGCTCCATACATGTGCCCAGTTTCTATTGTTGTCTGTATTATGAAGCTCCTATGTGTCTTTTCATTAATTTCAATCCTGAGGAAAGACTGAGTTTTCACTGGGTAGCAGACAAAACAGGGTCTTTGGATCTGCTCCCCTTGGCTATAACTCAGCAGAGAAACAGCATCACTCAGTAAGAGCAAAGGGACCACATTGATACCAAAAAGATATTTAGAAATTTTATTGTCTAATCCTGAGGAGAAGTTTGACATTTTTGAATGTCAGATATGAGTCTACAAATATTAAAAAGATATCAGTTATAAATAATAAAAATTTCATAGCTTGGATATAGTAGGGAAAGAAAAAATATTATTTCAAATTTGCTTTCTATACACTCTGTTTCTACTTCCATTGAAGTCTCACCCAGTAAGGTATCTGAAAATATCATAAAGCTGATAATTATGATATAGAGGAAGGCAGTAACAATAACCTCATGAACTGGACTTGAAAGTTTCCTATCTTCCAGGCACTGAGAAATTTCTTGTGTGTCTTGTTTTATTTCATGTTCTCTGCATTCCTGGATTTATATTTTTTACATTGTCAATGCATTTAGAAAAATGGAAGAGTTTTCCATTTTAATGGCACCAGTATTAGTTGTTATGTAGAAAAATGAGTGGGTGGAATTGGGTGGTCTGATTACAGACACAGGGTAATTCTGTTAGTTTCCATCTTAGCACAAGCAGACAATTCTCTGTCAGTTCAGGAGAGGCCCCTTGCTCAATGTGACCTTACTGTTGGAGTATATTGAAATGTCACAGAGCAGAAAAGTAAATGGTCACAGCTGTATCCATCATAGAATGATGCGGATTGAAGGTAAAGTACTGAGAGAGCACTCCCTTGAGCATTCACCACGGATTTCTCTGCTGACACCACTGTAGGATAATTTTGAGATTCTCACATCCTTCTCCTTCCTTGTACTTATTTCCTGGCAACTCAAATGTGGAAAAGTCACGGCTTGATTACATTTCTCTTTAGGAAATGAGAGAATTGCAAATATGCCTCTAAGCATCTATGATTATCAACTGTGCTGGAAACTGAAAATTTTCAGTTCATTGGACAGCACCTGTCAATCTTTTTTTTTTTCAATTCTTGCAGCTCCACTTATTATTTCTGTGATGAAGGGAGTGCTTTTAATATCTCTGAGAGCATTGTCATTACAATTGAATTTTGCTCTAAGCAATTGCAACAAGGATTATGCAGATAAGGAGTGCTCTCTTTAGGGTCAATGTATATAAAATTAGAGCAAAATATTGTTTAGGTATCATTACTCTCAGTTATAAGAATGTGCTTACCAATTATCTATTGTGTCCTATAGTTTCTATTTTTGTATTCCTGTTGCGGGACATTTTGTTTGTGTTTGGGTAATTATATGCATATATTTGGATAGGAATGATATACTTTCCTTTACATCTGATTTCTCAGACTTAAACCTTGTTTGGCAGAAAAGAGACATCAAAAAAAAACACCTCTTTTCAACATTGAATAGACACTTCCCTTAATCATACTTGTCCTTAGGGAGAAAGATATGAAGATTCCTGGTACATTACTATCTACACCTTCATCCATTTCAAAAATGTCCCATAGGTATAAAGACAAATGAAAATAACATTCATTTTTTTTCTTTGTCTCAAACACACAATTCCTATAATTCACTTAACTGCACATGTATAAGTTATTTTTACAAAAAGACAACAAAGATATTCATGTGTTTTTAAAAAGCCACAAAGAGAAGGGAGCAAGTGACTGAATGCCTTAAACCTAGGTACATTAAAGAACATATTATTCCAGGCACCAATGACATTTGAATGCAGTTTACTATACTATTAAATTTCCTAATTGCTTAATGTCATATGTCTTTATTTTGAAAGCTAAAACTCACAATTTCTAAATAGTTAAGTTCTTAGTTTATTTAATTGCCACACATGTGGATGAATGCTGTTCTGATTTCCCTCTACATTATGAGAACAGAGGAGAGGAGATTCACACACAATCTTCCTACAGTAACAGATCAGTGACACAGGAGTATAATGCTCATTTCTTCAGTGCCAACATTGGCACAGGCTCATAACCTGAAACAAAATGAAAATGTTATTACCCATATGATGATGATATTTCTTTGTGTGTTATCATAAAGAGATCTTTACAAGAAAGACTACAGGCATATTTTAAAGGTTTTTCTGAAGAATAAGAGGATGTAGATAAAAATGAGTGGCATGCTTTGGAAAAAACCTGAAATTTTACATATGTATTATATGATAGAAATCAGAAAATATATACCTATAATATATTATATACCAATTATAACATGAGTGATAGGGAAAAAAGCCCCAAGAATTTTGAAAATATCCTCATTATAATAAACATACAAGGTAATGAGGCCTCTCACTCTGTCTGCCTCTCTGATAAGGCGGTACATTAGTTAAAGAAGATCTAAAACTACTACCTGTGGGTGTAACCGTGTCTATGTGGTGGAGGAAATGTGTTTTGTTACACACTACTTAGATGAGTTTTTTGTCCATTTTGGGTAAATTTTTAAAAAAATTGCTTGTGGATTCATAAATCAGTGTTGACCTGGAAACATTGACAGGAAAATCTACCCATAAAATTCATGACAACACATCACTTTTAGGACAGGAGAGCAAGAAAAACGATACCAACTACTCAAAATTTTAGGTATTTGTTCAACACTTAGTTATTTGTTTACTGTCTAAAGAATATTAATGGTGGAGTAAATATAATTAAATATTCTTACTTCAATATCTATGGAGATAGTATGAATGGGAAATTTTCCAAATGCCAGCAAATATTCTGATAGTGGTTTTCAACTCTTGTTTAACAAAGTGAATCAAAAAACATGAAATGTACATATTCTGGTTAAATATATTAGGCTGTCTAGGGTATCTGGATATATGACAATATCTGCAGATAAATATATCCCTAAATTAGTAGAAACAGTGATACAAACTAAATGATTTTCAAAATATTTTCTTATAACAACCATAGAAAGTAGGTAATTGTTACCTCATTTTACAGATGAGGGGAAATACATTTTCTGCATGTATGTTTGCAAGATTTCATGAAACTTTTTCTATTGCATCTGAGTTTTAAGTTGTGCTTACATTATTTTGTGTGACATTTGGGGCTTTTTACCCATTAAATTATAGAATGGACAGAGGAAAATATGGATTCCAGTTTCCAACACATAGCTGAAATAAGGAAAATGCAACTCATATATCAGGAAAGATTGATGTGAAAATCTGTTGATTAGAAATAAGGAGGCTGGAATTCAGCCAGGGCCTTGGTAGTTTCTTAGTTTTCAACGTCATCAACTGGATACAAGAAGGTTTATGATCAGAATAGCAGTCATGCATATTATCAAGCTATGGTAGACTACAGAGTCAAGAAAGAAATGTCTTATTTAGCAGATATTTTACTGATATTGTAAGATTCAATGGAGCCGTATGAATTTTCGAAGGCAAAGGTGTTCCTTATCATTTATTATTTTTATTAACAAATGCAGTGTACACTAATATACATTTGTGGTAATTATATCCAAAGACTGTGTGCATGTATCTGAACGTGAATATATAAATTTTAGTGGAAGAAAGACAAGGGTAGAAGTCTCATATTGAATAATTTATACACAAACAAAATTTATGCACAGTTTTTATACAAAGGCTGTGTAAGCACTTACATCCTTAAAACATGAAATCAGAAAAAGCAAGAGAAATGAAAAATTCTGTATTTTTTTAGAACAGTGGCTCAAAAAATGGTGTTCTGCTTGAAGAGAATTAACTTTAATTTTTAGATAATCCAGTCCAAGTTTTATAGTATTAGTAGACACACCAATCAAGTAAATTAATAGCATTTTATGAATATAAACTACAAAATATTCCAATGCTTTTTAATTTCCTTTTCATACAATCATATTTTCTTAAAGGTGGTTGGCTTAACTACCTCTCTCTTTTTTGGAAAAGTTTTCGCATTTTATGGTGATCAAGTAATTCATAAGTCTATGTCCTTGGTTTGTTTACACTTTGCAGTAGAGTACTTTAGAGTACACAGAGGAGGTGGAAAACAAATCCCCAACACTTACTCGTTCATGGGGGTGGGGCTTTATCACAATAAAGCAATGCTGCTGGATGTTGCAGGTCTATGGTGGGAATTCTTTGCTTAATGAATACTTGAACTCAGAATATATGAAGAAATCTGTGTGACTTTTTTGTTTCATTTTTTCAAAGAAATTTATTTAAACATGCTCAAGAAACATGGAAAGACATAATCTCACACATGTCTCAGAGTTCTACCTCATGTGCTTCTCAGAGAATGCAGTCCTGCAGCCCATCCTGTTTGGACTATTCCTGTCCATGTACCTGGTCACAGTGCTTGGGAACCTGCTCATCATCCTGGCTGTCAGCTCTGACTCCAACCTCCACACCCCCATGTACTTCTTCCTCTCCAACTTGTCCTTGGCTGACACATGTTTCATCTCCACCACGGTCCCAAAGATGATTGTGGACATCTCAACTCAGAGCAGAGTCATCACCTATACAGATTGCCTGACACAGGTGTCTCTTTTTCTCCTTTTTGCATGTATGGATGACATACTTCTAACTCTGATGGTCTATGACCACTTTGTGGCCATTTGCCACCCCCTGCATTATGCACTCCTTATGAACCCTCACCGCTGTTTCTTATTACTTTTGCTGTCAGTCTTTCTTAGCCTTTTAGACTCCCAGTTGCACAATTTAGTTGCCTTACAAATTACTTGTTTCAAAGATGTGGACATTCCTAGTTTCTTTTGTGACCCTTCTCAACTCCTTGACCTTTCATGTTCTGATACCTTAATCAAAATCTTAGTCACATACATGGTAGGTATCCTGTATGGATTTTTCCCCACATCAGGGATCATTTTCTTCTACTGTAAAATTGTTTCTGCCATTCTGAAAATCCCATCATCTAGAGGGAGGTACAAAGCCTTTTCTACCTGTGGTTGCCACCTGTCAGTTGTTTGCTTATTTTATGGAACAGGCATTGGAACCTATCTTGGTGCAGCCATGTCACATACTCCAAGCAAGGGCATGCTCGCCTCACTGATGTACACTGTCATCACCCCTATGCTAAATCCCTTCATTTACAGCCTGAGGAACAGAGACATTCTTAGAAAGCTGAAGAGGCTCCCCCTGTGGAAAATCTAATCCCAGCATCTTTGCAATTTATTTCGAATGTAGTTTAGAAAATGTGATTAAAAAAAAATCCAAAACTTACCTCTAAATACTTCCTCCCTTGGTTTTATTTTTGCTTAAGTTTGATGTCTCTAACTTTATATGATGTTTCACTACAGTGTCATAGGAATTTGAGGGGTAGTATTTACTGTTCTTCATACAGGTACAAATATCAGTTGGGAAAGTGAAAAGTTTCTGGAGATGGGTAAGAGTGATATTTGCACACACAGAAAATTATGATATATGTAACTAAACTATGCACCTAAAATTGCTTTAAATGATACCTTTAGATATGTATATCTTTCCACAATGAACAATGGAAATAAAGAGCTGAGAATTTGGCTTCAAAAGGAAAAAGAATTAATAAAGATAATAGTACTCTTAAGAATTCTGTGTAAAAGAAGACCCCAAATTTTTTGGAGACACTCATTTCTTAAGCTGTCACTGAATTTCACATACTTCAAAGATTGGAATAATATGGACAAATATGGATAATTATAATTTGTGTGCATAGAGATTTCAAGGTTATGTGATATGACATAAGCTGCCTATTCTTCTTGTGTTTTTTGACATCTTGAGATGTCTGTGTCTCCTCCTTCCTATTCGTGTAAAATTGGAAGCCCACTTTTGACATTGTCCATATCAATGCTCTGACCTGTCCTTGAGCTTATGTGGTCCTCAGGTAAATGAGGAGTGTGAGATATGTTTGGAAATTCCATAGTAGACACACAACCTAACTCAAAAAGTAGTGGGTGATGAAAGCAATATTGTAAACATTACTTCACAGCATGGAGATGTTTGGAGAGTGGGATAGGATGATTGTGCACAGTTTCAGCTCAGAGGACTGTGAATTGTATGCATTTGAATATTACAGATGACCCAAAATCTCAGTTAATGATTTTTTTCCTCCCATCCTGGTCCACCTCGCATAGACATCTAACTCATGGTAGCATACTATGGATGTCTGTAAACTATTGCCTCAGTATCTCAAAAGAATTATGATAGAGATGAGGAAGATGATGGTGAGGATGAAAATCACCATAATGTCATGAAGCAAAATTAGAAGATTTCCTTAATGGCAATATCTACATTATGTATTCTATGTAATTTATTTCATTTTTTGTGCACAATATTTCTCAGTAAAAGCTTCTATATTATTATTTTAAAAGGAAATGGGCACTGAATTTTTTGTAGTTTATTAGAGGTTTTTGGATAGAAAGTAGTGAAGAAACATTTGCACAAGTCTGTCTGATAACACACACAGGGCATTTTTCCAGGCAAATCCTGGTACACATTTCCTTTGACAATCCAAGCACCAATTTCTCTTTCCTGTCCATCCAGGTAGGACTCATTTCTTACTGTATGTGGGGTACATAAGGGTGCCCAAGTGGATCGCTGTGGACAGAGGGATGAAGACAGGTGCATCTTCCTTTGAAATGATATCTAATTTAAGAAGGAAAGATCAAAGATTGGAAAGGTCTACAATGATTAATTTTGATCTCATGCCTGTGCCCTACTCCATGCTTTCCTTGAAGCTGTCCATATCCTGTTCCTCTCTTATAAATCACCCTTCTCAACATCGACAAGGGAAATCAACTCTGATTAGATTTTTCTCCAACCCCCAAAACTGTAAAGAGTTTAAGTTTCCCACATATAACAACATTGTAGACATAACAACCTCTGATGAAAACTTTATGACAGTTAAGAAACAATGATTTGTGGATCAGATACAGAGACTGACAACTTAATTTGGAATTTCGTCTCCATCCGTTACTCATATGTACAGTGTGGCAGATTGTTTTTGTCATTGATATCTGAATTCCTTTCTAGCTTATACTACTGTATTTAGCATTGTTCAAACATATAATGGATGATCCTCGAATTATTACTAGGTAATTAATATATAGTATAAGGCTAAAATTCAAAGAAGATATCATCTGTAGAATAAATGATAAAAAATTCAATTATAGGACATTCAAATAAAATATTCTGGTGACTCAACTTGTCATTTTCTTTTTTACATAATTTTGTATTTTTTTCTGCAAATATATGCATGCATTTACAGAACATTCATTTCTGACTCTGCAGTTTTTATCTCTATCCTGGCACATGAGAGTAAGTAAAAATAAAAATATTTGCTAAACAAGGTCCCAAGTTCAATCTCTGGTACCAAAAAACCCCAAAACAACAACAACAAAAAAGATACAGATTTAATAAAAGGCAAATACTAGTACTCCTTCAAAAAGGTAGAGTGAGCCTTTGTTCTTCTTTCCAGGTGTTATTCCACTCAGGCTATTGGATAGTGCCACTCACACCCAGGGTAGGTCTTTTCACACAGTCCATTCGGTAACAGCATGAACTATGCTAAGCCAATCAGTTGGAAATTTCTTTTTGATACCAGGGATTGAACTCAGGACCTTGCACTTGTGAGGCAGGCAGCAGAAGCACTGAGCTAAATATCTGGTTCAGCTGGGTATTGTTTACTCAAGTTTAAACAATGGTTAACTAACACACATGTAAACTAGACTTAATATGGACTTACTGATAAGAAACAATTTTCTTAATAATTTTCATTAAGATAACCTAATGATCTTCTAAATAATAATGTACACAATTGCTATTGCACTGAAATATAGTCTCTCTGTGAAGTACATAGAGCCACTTTAAATGCTTTCACTGAGGTACTGCATTATTAGATAAAAGGATGTTCTATAGCTTGTTTGGTCATTATTATGACAATATTTAAAAATATTCTTATTTCTCTCATCATTTTATGCAAGAGAAAAGTACCAGATAATATGTATGTGGAGGATGTGTGCTTGAATACAACAACTGAGGTATACTCAATTTTAATATTGATCACTTGAATTTTTCTCAATAAAAACAATCTTACTAGAAACATGATATTACTCTTAAAATATAAAAGAAAAATATTCCTGAATTTTGTCTAGTAATAATCCCTGTATGACTACTGATCAAGATATATGATTTAGCATAGAAAATATATCCACTTGGCTCCATTAGAAAAAAACTGGAAATGGGTGAATCAGCCTGCTGGAGATGGGTAGGTCTGCGCATGCCCTGCAAAGGTCCTGAGCCACATGGAACACGCCTAAATAGCCTGCTGCAGACAGGCAGGTCTGTGCATGCCATACCGAGGTCCCGAGTTGCACAGAAGAAACAGAATCACTCCGCTGAAGACAGGTAGCCACCTGTTTCCACACTATAAAGATGCAGAGGACACCAGACCACTAGAAAAAGGTACTGAGTCCCACTGCTCCTGGCCCAGAGGTAGGGGCTTCTGAGCCACCATTCCACTGTTCCTGGTCCAGAGGAAGGAGGTTCCAGGCCACCATCCCTCCCGCTGCTCCCAGCCCACAGGAAAGGTCTTTTAGGTCACCATCCCTACCGCTGCTCCCGGCCCCTGTCCCACCTCTCCCAGCTCAGAGGAGGTAAACCGTGCAGGCACTAACAGCAGCCTGCCCCAGTCAAAAGGAGAAAACACCTAAATAAGTCTCAAAACCAGACTTCCAGATCACCTACAGCAACCCCAAAGCAAAATGAGATGGAACACTCTGATACTCAAACACCTGAACCCACTGAACTGGCAACAAAAGGGGATCTGGAAAACATGAAATCAGAAATAATTTCTCAGATAACAAGAGAAATTGTGCATCTAGGGCAAGACATGATTAATAAATCTAGAGAGGAGCTCAGGAACATGATGGAATCCCAACATAGGAAACAAATGAAATCCATAAAAAAAGATGCAAATAGATTTCCAGGACATGAAAAACTCCATTGAATGTCTAAAAAGCAAAATGAGCCAATGTAAGGACAGAAACTCAGATATGGAAGCTAAGATTGCAATTAGTGACCAGGAAAAGAAAAAATGCTTCAGAATTATAAAGGAACATGAGAAATCAATCTAGCAGCTGCTACATGATGCAAAGAAGAATAACATAAGACTGATTGGGCTCAATGAAGAAACAGGAGAGAGTGGAGATGACATAAAAAATCTCTTCACAGAAATGATGGCAGAAAAGTTCCCAAACAGGGGAAAAGAGCTTGACATACAGATAAGTGAGGCATATAGGAATCCAAATAGCCTTGATCAAAAAACATCTACACATAGGCATATAATTGTTAAGATTCCAGAAACTCAACAGAAGAACAAAGTTCTACAAGCAGTTAGAGTAAA